TAATAATAATAATAATAATAATAATAATAATAATAATAATAATAATAGCAACAAAGATTATTAGGGGACTGGAGGCTAAAACCTATAAAGAACGGTTGTTGGAACTGGATATGTCTAGTTTAATGAAAAGAAGGACTAGAAGTGTGTGACATGATATTCCAATATTTAAGGAGTTGCCACAAAAAAAGAGGGAGTTAATCTATTCTCCAAAGCACCAAAAGGCAGGACAAGAAGCAATGGATGGAAAGTAACCAAGGAGAGAAGCAACCTAAAACTAAGGATAAATTTCCTGACAGAACAATCAGTAGAACTATTTACCTCCAGAAGGTATGAATGCTCCAACACTGGAGGTTTTTAAGAAGAGATTGGACAGCCATTTGTCTGAAATGGTAGAGGGTTTCCTGCCTGGGCAGGGGATTGGAGTAGAAGACTTCCAAGGTCCCTTCTAACTCAGTTATTCTGTTATTCGGTTGGTTAGAATGGATGGGCAGGAGGCTTAGAAGCTGCTTGTGTGCAGCCCCAGTTATGGGCATAGCTTCAGTCAGAGGATTTTCTTCTCAAGGAGAAAAGCTGACTGCTTCTGCTCTGCCCTCCATAGCTATTGGCTTGTTCTTGGGTGAGGCACCCTTCCAGAATCTGACCCCTCTGAGTCACACACACACCCCCAACCTGCTCAGTCTCACTGTTTGAACTGCCTCAGGTGTCTGTGTGCCTGCCAGCACCTCAGGCTCGCAGTCCGTCTGGCCTGTCTCTCAGCCTCTGACTCAGAAGAGACCATCATAAAAAGGACAACACCATCCAAGGCAGCTCTCATAAAAGGCATAAAACATTGATAAACCCAAACACTGCGAAGTTAAAACGCTTCTCCAAAATGCTAAAATCTCATTGACAAACGAAACCCCAGACAGACCATTTCAGATGCATTCGGGGGGGAAAGCTTGACAGAGGAGCTGAACATTTTGTGCTTTCTTAAAAAGTTGGCAGTTAAGCTTAAGAATGGGCTCACAATGGAGAAAATGTTCTCTGTAACAAATCGAATCGTATTCAACTGAGAACAAGAGAAACGGGCTCCCATTCCCAAAGGGAGTCCTGCTTTTTGAGTCCTCACTGCTGGTCTTTGGGAAAATACTAAAAACAGAGCTATTTCAGAGGATATTCTTGTAATTTAAGCATGGTGCCTGCGTTTTACCTCTTCTCTGTTTTTCAATTGTTTGTGTGTGTTTCCATACAGAGAGTTATTGCACAATTATTTATTATTTTTAACCATACTGTGGATAATTTAATATTGTTTATTAAATTTTTATACTGCTCAACTATCAGCAGCTCTGGGTGTTTATAGTTACTATATCAGTCAATGACAACTGTTGATTGGAACAGGATATAAGTTAAATAAATGAATAAATAGCACCTAGTCAGAGCAGACAAAATCTAGACAATTTATCATTTTGACCAGCATTCATTCCTATGTGCAACAGGTGAAATACTGACAGATTCTGGTATTTATCCAGACTGAGAGCATACTGATTTTTAAAAATAGAAGAGTTAGTGTCAGGTAACTCTCTGTAAGGTTCTGTGATGTGAAGAAAGGCATTGATTGAACCCAACAGTGTTTTTTCACCTTGGTCACATTAAGATGTATGGATTTCAAGTCCCAGAGTATCCTGGCTGGGGAATTCTGAGAACTGAAGCCCATTTTAACATGAGTAAAGTTGAGAAACACTGTAGAAGAGGATGTGATGAAGCAGTTTAGTGCTTACCCTGTTGAGGCATACCAAATGTCACTGTTTGTGACATTTGCCTTCACTTCTGCCCCAGTTGTGAACATTACAAGCAACTTGTTGTTTTCTATGAGAAAAACACATGTCAATCAAATAACACTTTTAATAGGATTCAGCACATGCACATTTAAGTTGTGACAAAGGTATTACTCTATAATATTTACTTCTGACATCTGAAAGCATCATGAATGCTAGCAGCATAATATCACAATAGAGAGAGAGATGTCCCAACT